AGAGAGAGAGAGAGAGAGAGAGAGAGAGAGAGAGAGAGAGAGAGAGACCAGATACCATTATTGAGTTTATGTTATGAAAGAAGTCATATTATCGATCTTAAAATCGCAGCTTAAACATCAGCAACATATGTTTCATGATGTAAGAAGAGTAAAGCTAAACTTGTGTAATATAAAAACTTTTAAAAGTTCTTTGCAGTAAAACCTTTTGATATTTTTAAAACGAAAAGCAGCATTTGAGTATTTTCAATGAAAATGAATGAATGACCAGTTATCTAATTTTAACGGAGTGCTTGAGAAACCGTTTTTTAGCCAAACATTCCACAAGGCAGGCATAATCACAGAAGAAATATTTAGACCAGTGGTTCTCAGCCTTATGTAGTCAGTAGAAAGGAATTCACACTAAATTCCAATGCTACTGGCACTGTTGGTAGAAAGATTATAGTCCCACAACATCTGGGAACTTAAAATTGAGAACCACTGCATCAGAGGTGGTATTCAGCAGGTTCTGACCAGTAACGGAAATTTTGAATAGTTCAGAGAACCAGCAAATCCCACCTCTGACTGGAGATTTTACAGTATCCTTCCCCTGCCACACCCACCATGCCACACCCACAGAACTGGGAGTAAAAAAATTTGAATCCCACCACTGCACTGCATGAATTTTGGTGATTACATATCTATAAGGATAGGCCTCAAGAGATGACTAAAGCATGCAGAAAATTGATCAGAAAAAGGCCACTAACATAACTTTTTCTCAAGCCATTAAAAGTAAACACCAGTAGCTTAAAGAAAATTCAGAAATAAAGGGATGTATGAGTGCAACCTTATTAAAGTAAGGCAATATCGTTAAAATGCAACCAGCAATGAAGCTATCACATTTTGTACCATTTGCAACTTCTGGACATTCTTCTATGGGGAATGCATTCCAAGAATGTAATTTGGAGGTAACTAGGTCATGAAAAAGAAGATGCTAAGAAAGATAGCTTGGCCACCAGCCAAAGCAGGTAAAAGATTTCATAACCAGTTCTGTTCCTATCCTAATGTTCTTCATATGAGATGATTTGCAATTATCTGGAAATTTAGATTGTCTAAATCTAAATTTCCAGCTAGTATGGCCAACAGCCATGCTTCTTGCGAAACTCATTATCCAACACATCTGATTCTAAATTAGAGCAGGCATACCTAGTATAATTCTACTATGACTGAATTAAAAGCATAGAAGTTAAACTTATCTGGATTACTTTTGCTCCCTAGCAATAAAGATCAGAGAAATCTGTGGTGATTTACAAGATGAATTCCTTAAGACTATGCTCAAGCATACAAGCAAGCAGCTCAGTTATATGTTTCCATATGGAAAAGTGATTTTATATATTAATTATCACTTAATGACTATTGCATTTATTGGCATAATACTCAATCTATACATCTTCAGGTTTAATGATTTGTTGTTTTAGTAGCATCCCTACAGATGGGAGGGATGAAAAAACATTGATTAAAAATATATTTCCAAATACATGTCCAAAATACAGTAGTCCTCAACTTATAACAGATCATTTAGTGACTGTTCAAAGTTAAAACAGTGTTAGTGTTTGGGGATTAACCCCTAGCAGAGTATTGCAGCAGTAGTCAAGCCAGGCAGCCAAATGAGAGTGGAAGGGCCCCAGAGTATACACACACTGAACACAAACACTGTTTGTAGTTTAAATAGTTTTTAATCCATTTAGAGTTTAAAGCATTGTCATTCAGTCCATTAAGTCATTCACAGTATTTCCATCCAGTAAGACTCACTAGTATAGTCCAAGTTAAGAGTCCTTGCAATATCTTTATCAGCCGATAAAGATATCTTCTCCTCCTCCGGTGCCTCTCTCCAGAGGAACAATCGCTGGATATTCAACAAGACGTTCAAACAGTAGAATTACGCAGTAAATCAGCAAACAGTAGCAAACAAGAACAGTTCAGTCACAGGCACTCACAGTCAGTAATCACAGTTAGTCACAGTAAGACACAGTTAGTCGCAGTAAGATTTTCCAGCTTCTAATGCTTCCTTATATTGTAACTTCTAACCGCACCCTTAATCGGCTAATTGCCTGCAGCATTGTGCTTAAAGTGATAAGCACTTAAACCATGATATCTAAGTTTTATATATTTATTCACCCAAACTATATTTGGTATCAATGTTATACCTAACATACTCCCCTTTTG